CAAGCAGCCCGGGACGGCCGTGGAGCCGGAGAAGAGGGACCTGGACGCCAGCGAGGCTCCCCGAGCGGGTGCTGCGGGCGAGCCCGAGCCCCTAACAGAGAAGGCCCTGCGGGAAGCCAGCTCTGCCATCGAAGTGCTGGGGGAAGCCCTGGTAAGAGGATGCCACAGTGTGTGCGTGTGCGTGCACCACTGTGTGTGTGTGTGTGTGCGTGCACCCGTGTGTGTGTGTGTGTGTGTGTGCGTGCACCCCTGTGCATGTGTGTGCACATGCACCCTTGTGCATGTGTGTGTCCGTGTGTGCGTGCACCACTGTGTGTGCTCGTGCACCTCTGTGCATGTGTGTGTGCGCGCATGCACCCCTGTGTGTGTGTGTATGTGTTTGTATGCGCGCGCCCACGCGTGCCCACGTGGCAACCCCATGAGTGAATGAGTGACATCCACAGTGTCCTGTCCTCTCGGCCCTGCTCAGCTCCGCAGCCTGCTGCCTGTGGCTTGTTATGGCCTCAGTCCATGCAGACTTGGTCTCCCTCCTTCTGCCGCCTTCCCTTTCCCAGCATGACCATCTTTCTCCAAGAACCCGACCTTCTCGTGCAGCATCCGCTGGAAGGCGGCTTCGCTTTGTCGTTGCCTCCAGCGATGTTTCAGGCTCATTTGCTGGGGGAGCCTCTTGCTGGTCTTTGGTCCAGGGTCTTCGTAGAACCTCCTCCAACACCATGTTTCAGAGGAACCATTGTTTTCCCAGCAGCCCCCTCCCTGTCCAGCTCCCGCACCCGCACCGAGTCCCTGGGGTCCGAGTACCTGGGGTCCGAGGCTGTGGACGGGCTCAGCTCCTCTCTGATGGCACGTCTGTGCCCTCGGGGATCTGCCCGAATTCGTCCCCGGTGGGAGGGGCGAGTCTTGTGCTGATTACTCAGCGTACAAAACGGAAACGGAAGCGAGGGTTTCAGATCTCCCGAGTGAGGACTCACTCAGCGCTGTGTCCTGGAGCTCAGAGCTAGCCGGGAAACCAGCTCCCCTGTGCCACCAGCCAATCCCGGGAGCCACAGCAGCGGGACAGGCAGCGCGTGTCCTCGCACAGGGAGCCCAGCGCTCACGTCCCCAGTTCCCAGCCCACAGCACTCGCCTTGGTTCACCAGTCAGGTTTCCCTACAGAAAAGCGGTTCTCTGAACGCACAGTGCGTGCTCGCTCTGAAGGGCCTGGTTGTAGGAAAGGTGTTGTTCTCATTTGAAACGAAGGCTCGGGTGGCACGGTGCTGGGGGTGGTGTCGCCGACACCCAGGGAGTGAGCAGGGCTCCCGCCGCAGGTGGCTCAGGCCTATTCCAAGACGTGGTCGTTCCGGGAAGACGCGCTGCTCACCCTGCACCAGCAGCTGGTGGACACGCCGGTCGGAACCCCGAAGGAGGACCTGAAGGGCTTGCTGCGCGCGGCCGTCTTTCTCATCCGGAAGTCCATCCGGGACATCGTTACCCCGGTGAGTCCCCCGGCCCTCAGGGCCAGTGTCTGCCGCGATGCCGGCCGCGCCCAGGAGGGAGAGCAGACAGGAAGTCCCCGTCATGGCCAGCACCGAGGCGCTAGGAGTGTCCGTGCACCGGGCACCTGTCCCTCGGTCCGGTCATTCACGCTGGTCTCATCAGCCTCCCCTGTGCTCTTCAGAGCCGGTCACAGAGGCCTGGGCTCCCGGACTCAGGGGCATCCGGGCCCGGTTCACCGTTTAGGAACCTGGGGCTGGGAGCTGCTGTTGAGCTGACTAACTGTGCGAGGCCTCCTGGTGAGCGCCCTGGTGCGCCGCCGTCTGCAGGAGCTTCCCCAACTCAACGGGGCTCTGTGACCCGGACACGGGGGTACCGCATGGTTGGGGCACCAGGAAGTGAGAGCGAGGGTCTCCGCCCGCGACGACCTATTTAAACAGTCGTTCTCAGGTGCCTGTCCCAGCCCTGCAGACGGCGTGGCATGGCATGGGTTCCTGTTTATCCCTGAGAGGAAGGCTCATGTTCCCTCGCAGCGAATTCAATCAGAACAGCTCGCCTGTCTCCACCCCTTTCCCAGGTCTTCCAGGCTTCGCTGAAGGTGCTGAAGATGCTCCTCACCCAGTACATCCCCAAGCACAAGCTGAGCAAGCTCGAGACGACGCACTGTGTGGAGAGGACCGTTCCCGTGCTGCTCGCCAGGACCGGAGACTCCTCTGCTCGCCTGCGGGTCATGGCTTCCAACTTCATCCAGGTACGCCGTGCGCAGGTGCCCGCTGCGGGGGGCACAGCCCTGCGGGGGGCACAGCCCTGTGGGGCCGGACTTGGTTCAGATGTGGCGGGTCCCCTCTGCTCGGAGCAGCTGCCTCATCCTTGGGGCCCCTCCTGGACTTCCCTGGGCTCTGAAAGGGCTGTTTTGTCTTTGACGTGAACGTTGATGGAAAGGGACACTGCCTTCTAGTGTTTCTCTAAGTCAACACATGCTGTTGACTTTTAAAATAAAAATATGGCCCTAACTGGTTTGGCTCAGTGGATAGAGCGTCAGCCTGTGGACTCAAGGGTCCCAGGTTCGATTCCGGTCAAGGGCATGTACCTTGGTTGCAGGCACATCCC